GGATGGATGGGCTCTGGCTCTGCGCAGGGGATCAGGAGCTTCTGGAGCTTACAGCGTGTGCGTCACAGCTGCCCATCCAGGCCGTGCCCCAGACCTGCACTCCTCCAAATGAGCTTTGCTATCAGCGCTGGAGAAAAGCTTCTTCTGTGCGGGGCTTACATACCCACATGTAAGTCCAACAGTCTGTGGCTTCTCTAAGCCAGGCGGATTAAAACTGTGCTCCGTCTTCCTCGAACATTGTTATGAGCGAGTCTCCAAAGCTGGGAGCAGGGGACGCCTGCCTGGCCACTTCCTGCCATAAGGACTTTACAAAGAGCCCATTGTGCACAACCTAATCTAAGATAGAGCCAATGCACCCGGCTGGGCCGCTTACCCCCTATCTTTGGCCGGTTATTTGGCAACAAACAATAGTTGTATAGAAGCAAACATTTTCAGTTGATAAAAAATGCCATTGTAAACCCAGGTCAGGCATGGCATTTGCAGATACCTGTAACTTGGGTCCTGGCTGCTTGGAACAAAAGGCAAATTAGTGTAGTGTGTTACCACTTAGTGACTCAGATCCAGTGATCCGCGTCATAGAAAATAGGGCTGGGAGAAGAGGGAGAGGGCAAGAGGGTCCAGATGCCGCTTCCACTTGATAAATATCTACTGACTATTGTGTCCCAGCACTGTGCTCTGCCCCTGGGGGGAACTTAGCTCTCGTGGAATCTTTCGGGGTTTACAAATTCGAAAGCTTCCGGACCTGACAACACCCTGATGAGAGGGTGGTGCTCATGCCCGTCTGCAGGGCCCACTCCTCAGCTCCAGCTGCCTGTGGCCAGAATGGCCCATGCATGCAGTTTTGCCAGATCTGAATTTTCAAGAAAAACTGGAAAACAGAATTTTTATGTGTAATCTTTTCATTTTTAAACATAGGCTAAAATTTTAAAAGAAAAACAAAATAAAAAGCCTGCATAGATCAAACCAACCCAAGTCTCCAAACCTTCAAGCTATTACTTTTGCTTTAGAGACAATGAGGAATAATAGTTAAGAGAGAGGTATCTGGAAGTGGGGAGAAGGGTACCTGTTTTACTCTCTGCTTGCTTTGTGACCTCGGGCAAGTTATCTAACCTCTCTGGGCCTTACTTTCTTCATGTGTGAAATGAGCATGATAAGGCACATTGTAGACATAAATGAGAGAATGTGCGTACACAATTTATGGATCCACTCGATCTATAAATTGAGTACTATATTTGCAGGCCATCTGGTCTGCTCTTCCAGGAATCTCTTTTACAACATCCTTGACAATCGGACACTCGACCACTGCTTGTGCACTTCCTGAGACAGGAAGCTCAGGGATTCTTAGGGAATGCCAGTTGTATAACAATCCCCCAATCTCTGTGCCTTCATCCAATGTATGGTCATCCATTGCCCACGTCCCATTGCAATGTGGCTAACAGGTACTCTGTCGCCCCTCTGCCCCATGGATCCATGCGCCCTCTATCTGGGGGCTCTGTCATGCCCCAGGACTTCCCAGAATCCTCTACCAGGTTCTCTGCTTACAGCCAGCTGAGAGAGAGAGAGAAAGAGAAAGAGAGAGAGACACAGAAAGAATGAGGTGCATCACATATCACAACCGCACATTCCCACTTGCCAGAGGCCTATCGCATGGCCCCAATCTAATTATAAAGGAGGTTAGGACGTGAAGTGTTCCTATGTGTCCAGAAAGAGAAACAAAGAAAACAGCACTGGTGAACATCTAGGCAATCTCTGGCACACTCTGTATTCATATAAACACAATTCTACATATTTACAACGTCCACCCTGTCTTGCCTTCCAGAGCAGCACACACAGGACAGCAGGTAGACACAGGTTAAGGACAGACAGGCGTGGATTTGAATCCCAGTTTCAACGCTTGCTAGCTTTGGACCTTAGCAAATTCCTTATATACTCCGGGCCTCAGCTGTCTCATTTCAAAAGTAAGGCTAGTCATACTTACCTCACCGGGTGGTTGTGAGGATGGAATAAGAGAATGTGTATATTAGCACACTCCACAGTTTCCAGTATGTAACCTAGAAGGACCTCAGTTTATGCTGGTGTCTCTTCTGGTCCTCAACTACCTGATTGCTTTACAGGTATTTAAAAATGACTATGATTATTTCCATTAAGTTTTCTCTTCCCCCAGTCTCCTCAGCTATTTTTATTGTTTTTCCATGACATCACTGCCAGACCCCTCACTCTCCTAATGGCTGTTCCACAGATGTACCCCAGTTTGATAAGTTTCTTGACAAGAAATTGCTTGACAAACTTCCTTAGTTTGGGTTTCTATGAAAGCAGACCCTGAGACAAGGACTTGAGTGCAGATTATTTGGGAGAAGTAATCTCAGGAAACAGAAGTGAAGGAAAGGGGGAAGGGAGAAAGGTCAATAAATAGGTGGGTTACAGCTGTGGGCAATTGGGGTACAAACCCACAGGGGCTCTGAGGAGCCATGTTGAAAACACCTTAGAATTGGCCCACATTCTATGTCCTGCAGGATAGGGAGGCTAGGACATTTATCTATGAAATCCTGTTCTCATACATTGAGGGCTTCTACCAATAAAGGAATGTTTACTGCCTTGAGGTTATGGGCTGTGCCTACATATAGCTAAGCAGGCTTTCCCAACCTCTAGAAAGCAAAACAGAGACCTGCTGTGATGTGAGCTTAGATGGACCTTGGCAATGTGCATGGCAATGTTCCACCTTGGCAACACTGAAATTGGTGGCAGAAGGATGTGGCTCAGTGCATCATCATAAGCTCTGCTACATTGCCTCTAGCAAAGATGTCTGGAAGAGTCCACCCACATATTCTGTGTTTGGGCATAGGATTAGGGTAACGATCATCTTATCTTTTTAATTTTTTTCATTTCCCCAAGGAAGATGTGATGGCCAAGAATAAACAAAATGATCCAAGTAAGGGTCTAATAACTGCAGAACAGAAGATATAATCATTCATTAAAAGCAGACTGAGGGTAAAGGAAGAATTAAAACTGTTTATATTTGTAGATAGCTTCATCCTGTACATAGAAAATACCAAGGAAGCCACACACAAAACATCTAGAACTAATAAAAGAGTTCAGCAAGGCTGCAAGGTTCAAGATCAATATTTTAAAAATCTATTTTATTTCTATATACTAGCAATGACAAACCCTAAAATAAAATTGAAAAAAATCTTCTATTCACAAAGCATCAAAAAGAATAAAATACTTAGGAATAAATTTAATAAAAGTATAAGACATACACTAACAATTATGAAACATTACTAAGAAAAATTCATGAAGATTCAACTAAATTGAGATCTTCCCTATTCATGGATTAGAAGATTCAAGATTGTCTTGGCAATTCCTCCCAAATTGACCTATAGATTCAACATAATTCCTACCAAAATTCCAGCAGGCTTTTTATGGGTAAAAATTGACACACAAATCCTAAAATTTAGATGGAAATTTAAAGTATAGTCAAGACAATTTTGAAAAGAAAAACAAAATTGAAAGACTTATGTCACCCAATTTCAAAATTTACTATAAAGCTACATGAATCAATACAGTATGATATTGGTATAAGGATAGACATATAGATGAATGGAAAAGAATTGAGGGTTCAGATATAAACCCTTGCAATTTACCGTCAGTTGATTTTTGACAAAGGTACCAAGATAATTCAGTGAGGAAAGGATAGCCTTTTTTCAGTAAGTGACAGTGGGACTATTGCATATCCACTTGTAAAAATATGAACTTAGGCTCTTATCTCACATCATATACAACAAAATGAACTAAAAATGGATCACAGACCTAAAGATAAGAGTTAAAACTACAAAACTTCTGGCAGAAAATATAGGAGAAAATCGTGGTAACTTTGGGTTGGGGCAAAGAATTTTTTAGATAGGACACCAAAATCATGACACTTAAAAGAAAAAAAATGATAAATTGGACTTCATCAAAATTAAACTTTTGCACTTCAAGGTATCAGTAAGAAAAACAAGCTACAGGCTGGGAGAAAAAAATTCAAAATCATAGATTTGATAAAGGACTTCTCTACAGAGAAAAGAAAGAACTCTTGCAATCTAATAATAAGAAAAACAACTCAATTTTAAAATGGGCAAAAGATTTGAATAGACATTTCACTAAAGAAGGTACACAAATGGCTAAAAAGCATATGGAAAGATGCACAATATCATTAGTCATTAAGGAAATACAAATTAAAAGCATAATGAGATACATACCCACTGGAAAAGTTATGATGTAAAAGAGGGATAATACCAAGTGCTGGTGAGGATGTGGAGAAACTAGAGCCCTCCTATATTGTTGATAGGAATATAAAATGATATTTTCACATTGGAAACAGTTTAACAGTTTCTTTAAAAGTTAAACATACATTTATCATACAACCTAGTGATTCCATTCATAGAAATCCACCCAAGGACAATAAAAACATACAACCACACAAAGACTGTACATGAATGTTAACAGCAGCATTATTCATAACAGTCAAAAACTGGAAACAACCCAAATTTCCATTAACTGACAAATGAATAAGCACAGTGTAGTATAACCATATAAGAGAACACTCCACACAGCAGTCAAGGTGAACTTTTGAGAGTGCAAATTTGACTTGTGACTGAGGGTTAAATGTATAAGACAATTGTACCAAGTTTGTTAATAGTTTTTAAATATTTGACTATGTCAGTTTACGTGATGTTATGTTTTGGTACCTTGTGTAAGTCATTTTGGAGCTGACACACATTGTTGCTGAGCTGCTAACTTATCTTGTTGGTGAGAAGCAGCATCTGGGCTTGCAATTTCTGTATTTCCCTGGATTCTCTTCCAATTTTTCTGACTCCTAGGCCAGGTGTGTGCATTTAGCTCCATAATGAAGGAGCCCAGCTCTGTGGGATACCTTTATCAACAAGGGCAAAGGCAACAAGAACAAACATGGATTTCAATCCATCTTTGTGGGGTTCTGGCTCATATTCATGGGATACTACCTGCTTGTGCTCTTCCTTTCTTGCCTGGGGATTTCAGAGGTTTGTCTGAGGTCAGATATGCTTCCAAGCTCACGTGGCTGTTAGGGTGTTCAGTTTCTTGCAGGTGGTCAGACTGAGGACCTGGTTTTCTTGCTATCCATCAGCTGCAGGCTGCCTTCAGCTCCCTACTGTATGGCCCTGTTCACATGGCAGCTCACAGCATGGCAGCTTGCTCCTTCACAGCCAGCAAGGGACAGAGTCTCCTAGAAAGATGGATTACAATCTTATATAACATAATCATGTACACATAACCACACATATCCCATCACTTATTATATTCTACTAGTTAGAGGCCAGTCACAGGTCCCATCCACACTCAAGGGAGATCACACAAGGGTGAAACCAGGACTTGAGGATCACCAGAGTCTTTCCATCACAGTTCACCTTCTGGCCCCCAATGATCTGTGTCCCTCCCCCATGCACAATACATTTACTGCCACCCAGGGTCTCCAAGAGCCTCATATCATTACAGCATCTGCTCAAAGTCCAGGATCTCATCATCTAAATCAGGTCCAGGTATGGATGAAGATCGTTGGGCATAGTTCCTCTCAATCTGTCAAACTAAAGACAAGTTATCTGGCTCCTAACACAATGGAGGAACGAGCATAGTAAAATAGTTATAGACATTCCCATTTAAAAAGGGGAGAAGGTGTGGGCAATGGAAGGTAAAAAGGAGTTACCAAGCCAAAGCAGTTTTGAAATAGAGCCTAGCAAACTTCAGTCAGAATTCCTTGACTGGATCTCAAGGGCAGGGAATAATTCACCACAGCTGTTGGTCCCGCCCTCCAGGTTAAGGTAACACATATTTGCAGCTGAGTAGTTTCATCATCCTGTTTCCTGCCAGTAGAATTTTGGAGATCTAATAGCCTCCTTCCATTTTGTACTCTTTCTATCCTTTTCAGTTTAAGTGGGCAGTGCTTTTGCTGAAATAATTTTCTTGAATACTTTGTGGGTCACCAGTGAATTTCCCTTCAGACAAAAGCCACATCCACAGTTCTTTTTGAGATAGATCCTCATCTACCTTAGGTTCATGCTGAGATGGTTGTAGGACAACTCAATTAAGCTTCTAAAAGGCCCTATTATTTGAGAAGTTCTGTGAAATACACCCTTAATCTTTGTAGAAGGTCCTTTATGTAACAACACTACTCTGATCCTTTGATCTTCCCAAGGTTTTAACAAAAGCTTGTAGAATCACTACTTGGCTCTTTCTCTAGGCCAGGACTTATTTTTATGCCACATGCTCAAAAGTAATTTCTTAATTTTAACATCTTTTGCCATCTGGAGAGACTGAGAATTTTCAAAATCATCAAGTCCTGGTTCCTTTTTGTTTAACAGTTCTTCCTTCAATTTATTTCTCTTCTCTTGCATTTTCCTGTAGGCACCAAGAAGAAACCAGTTGGTAACTTCAACACTTTGCTTGGAAATCTTCTTAGCTATATAGCCAAATATATCACTTATTTCATATATGTATCATTGTGATGATTCATTTGTGTGTTTCTGCTTTCAAGATACTTGTAGCATTTAAAAGATTCAGATACAGGATATTTGTGATTTTCAGGAGACCATATTATATACAATATATAGTTTATATATATATCTTTAGAGTTCAATTAGCTCATAAATTAATATTTAAATATTTGGAAAATGTCATATTTGTTAAATTCATAAGTTTTCATTTTTTACTTGTTTAAGGAGCATTTTAATTTTTAGAGGAATACTGCTTAGTCTATATAAGTAATAAATTGAGCATTAAACAGATTACGAATAGCAGTGATTGTGCCTCCCTACAATACAGAGGTCTCTCAGACACTGAAGAATTTATTCAGATGTAAGCATTCCAGAAAGGTTCACAGCAGAGATACTGAAAGCAGCAGAACTGAGGAGACAAAAGCCAGGACTGGGCATCGGGTCCTCTTTGGCCGAAGAGAATGGACGGCGGCCTCGCAATGCTGCGGCCCTGACTCCCTCTAGTGGTCGAGACTACAAAACCCGCCGTTCCCGAGGACCGAGAGAAAAAATACTTCTGCCAGGTCATCTCTCTTCAAAAAGTTTCATTTGATTAGCAAGACCAAAAAAGAAAAAAAAAGCAGAAATTTTTCCTCCAAACTTCTTATGAGATGTTTATCTAGTCTTTGCACAAACACTTCCTCCGTCACTAGGTAGCACAATCTACTTTGAACATCTTTAATGAGCGTAAAAGGCTTCCTTCTTTTCAGCTGACACTCTGTCCCCGTCACCTGTACTCACTGGCCCCACACTTACCCTCGGGAGCGCACAGCACAATTCTAATCTCTCTTCCACCTGACGGCACTTCGAATATTTGAAAATGGCTTCTTGTCTCCCCCTGGGACTTACCGTCTCCAGGCCCACACGTAGTTCCTTCAACTGCTCCTTATTTGCCCAAATTTCCAGATTCCTCTGTCACCACTGCTCTCCTCTGGAGGCACTCTGGTTTGTCAACAGCCCCTGAAGACATGCCGACTGCCAAGACCTGTGCCCAGGGCCTGAGCTGTGGCCCAACCATCCCTCAGCGCAGAGGGGCCAATTACCACCCTCCTGCAGGACACTCTGCTCCTACGAACCCATGTTTCAGCGGCTTTATCAAGTGATGGATCCGAGGCTGAGATTTCTCTTGCCTGGATTTTTCCCATATGAGGCAACTTCACACTTCTCTTGCTTTACCCTCTTTGTAGCCCTGAAACTTTTTCTGTTCTTGGACAGAACTTAGTTTCCCAAATAATAACATACACAGCTGCCAGCAGATGACCAGGTCTGTGTGAAACTGGCCTGCCACTGCTCAGAAGCCTCACAAAACCCCTCGACAGTGACCTGTTCCTTTGCGAGACTGAAGCTTGAGAACTTGATCTTCAGGTTGGAGACACCTGACTGGCCTAAATCCCTGCTGCTGCAGTTTAAACTCATTTCCTCTGATATTGCCCTCTGTGGACGTGGAGAAAAGAGACTTGACGTCAGTAATGTGACATCCCTTTACAGTTTGAAGGCTGATATTCAGTCTACTCACACCTCTCTTCTCGGAACTAATGTAGACTTTTCCCTGAAGGGCTATTTTTCAAAACCGTTCATCATTTACTTTGTCTCCCCTGGCTCCTTTCCAATTTCTCCATAACATCCTCCACTTATGGGCCCCAAGACTGAACAGTATGTTTTAATGACTGATATTGGCTATAGATTAAGAATTATACCTGTGAAAATATTTCCATTATAACATAGCTCATTGTTACAAAGATTTATCTACGTAAGGAATCCCCGGTGTACAACAGGTTATGTTTCAAAACTTTCTTTTTAGATCAGTTATTTGATATTTGGGCACATTTTTCCACAGAAACAATGTTATATCTGGTACCCGGGCTCCCAGCCCAGCCAACAAGAGCCAATTTAATCCACAGAGCACTAATGATATCGGGTTGAATTTTGACAATAAGAATTCTCTGATGTTGAAAATAAAAGATGCAAGAAGATGGAATGGGAATTTCTTCCTTCGATTTCTCAGCAGGGAGCTTTCCACAGTGGAATTATGAAATGGATGACTCTTAACTTTGGGTATCTTCTTCACATTGTTTTTCTGGCCTTCCCCACCTCTTTGGGTCCTAATTCCCAATATCCCAGTGTTGCCTGAAGTCTCCTAGGTGCTGCCTGACCCAGATCTCCCTACATCCCCCAATTCTCCATGCTTCAATACGTCTTAGCTCCTCTCTCATGACCCCAACAGCCATTCCCTGAATGAAGTAAGTTCAGGGGAGTGTTAGCATGACAGCCATCTCATTGAACCAGATGCCATGAATGAATTCTCCGTGATGTTTGTTTTTAAATGGGTAGCTCACTTACCCAAAAGACTCCCATCTGTGCAATTCACAAAATGAATTTACTGTCACAAAATGAAAAAAATACAGATTACATGAGGGGAATATTTTGGGGAATATGGAAGCCACTATAATAGATTTGCTTTTTCTGCCTGCTTGGGAATCTATCCCAAATAACACCTGCTGTCCACAGATTCCCTCCTTCCCTCATTTCTGAATCACAGATTATATGCCCCAGGTTGTTTTTCAGCTGTTCCAACATTCTTAAAATTGTTTTTATTTTGTGAAATTGCTGAATGAAAGCAGTCAGAAACCCCCCACCAAAAAAGTTCATGCTGTAGAATTCCATTTATATAAAATTCTAGAAAAAGTAAACTAATCTATAGTGATAGAAAGCAGATTAGTGGTTGCCCAACCTGGGGGAGGAGGAAGAAATGGATTACAAAAAGGCCTGGGGAAACTATTGGGGGTGATAGAAATGTTCATTGTCTTGATTTCAGAAAAGGTTTCATCGGTATATACATCTGTCAAAACTCATCACATTGTACACCTTAAATATGTGTGGTTTATTGTACATCAATTACAGCTCAATAAAATTATAAAAAAGAGAAACACAAAAAGAGTAATTGACATTAAGTTTATATTTGTCTCAAGTTTTGTTTATATAAAATAAATTAAATATAACAGGTAAGAGTGAAGCATGATTCCATTTCTTTACCCCAACCCCCAGAAGCAACTATCATGAATTTAGTGTATATCCCAGTCGACTAATAATTTTGCATGCATACATATCTATTCTTAAACAACATAGTATACTATTTCTGTGCATTTTAAAATTTTATATAAATTACATGTAAATTTTATTCCATGGATCTCTTTTTTCTTATATGTTGATATTATATATTTTATACATGGATATGTTACATATAGGTACAATTCATTGCTTATAATGGCTGTTATGAAAATTCATGCCATGATTACGATAATTGATATCACAATATAATGAAAATATATTACATTTTATTTATCCATGCTCCCTTTGATAGGAATTTCAATTCTTTCCAATTTTTTATAATTACAAGCAATATTGCAATACGCTGAGGTTTTCAAAATAAATCTCATGGTTTGGCAGTAGGAGTTACTGGGTAGTAGCCACCAGGTAGGTGTATAGATAGATCTTCTATGAGTCAGCTGTTGG